GTGACCAATCAGATCATTCCAGCACTCTATAAAGATAGGAAAAAGGGCAATCTTGTAAAAGACCACACAACTTGAAGAGAGCTTGACAGAGAGTTCAGTTACACATGGTATGAGCAGGTTGTTAGCCTGTGAGCTACTTAAGACACAGATGCACTGCCAGCAGAAACTACTAGGACATGGTTGTTCTAGAAGTCCTAGGACCAGAGTTGTCCTAGATGTTCCTTGTTTGGACAAGGAAAAACTAGGACAAAGCCTGTCCAAGGAAATCTAGGACAAGCTTGTCCTAGATGTCTTTGTTTGCAGTGATGAGGTCAAGGACAATGGCTCAACAAATACACACCTGCAGATGTGCACAGTAGTGATCAAGAGAGAGATGAGAAGAGAAAAGAAAGAAAAAAAGTTCTGAAACAAACAAAACACTATTAGAGTCTAACTCCTAGGAAATTTGGAATGCACACAATGAAAGACTCACTCTGATTCAATTTTGATAAGGAAAAAGAATTAGAATATTCCTGACTTGACAACAAACATATATAACAAAAAGAAACAAAAACTTATGACCCTGTCAATTGCAATCTTTTCAGTGGGTGAGACAACTCATGATGAAAAGATGAGGGTATGTGTCAAGTCTCCTTGGTGACAGGGGTAGACATGTGTCATGCTCCATCTGTAACCAGATAAAAAGTAGTTTTCCTTCCTTGAAACCTGGTAAGTTTATTGTCTTCATTCATTTTCAGACATGAAGAGTTTGACCTATATCTGACATTTGTGTTGGACTGCCACACAAGAAAACACTGAAGAATATTTTACCATATCTCAACAAATTTTTCTACTGAGGACCTGAAAAGTATATAAACCCCCCCTCTCTGATCCTTGCCTCTTTTTCCTGCCTCTTTCCACATTAATCTCAACCCCAAAAGAAGCTTGAATGTTCATTAAAGAATATTAAAGCTCCATCCTCATAAAAGGATGTTTAGCATTGACTAAAAAAGTAGTTTGGTACAACATCCTTCTGAAAACATTTCTCTGTTTCATTTCTCTCTCATCTCTCTCTCTCTACCTTTATCAATTTCATCTAAAGGTTTTGGTCCTCCCTCAGCAATCATGTCCTTCATCTTAGTAGACTCTGGGCAGAGCTGTTCTAAGACATAAAACACAAAGAGGTTAAACCAACTTGAGCTGGGGTGACTACTGTGTTCACAAGGCTTATAAGATCTAGAGTGACTACTGTGGCACTAAGATCTTGAAACTGGGGTGACTAGTGTGTTCACAAGGTTCCAAACTTGACTAAGAGAGCTAAAGCAAGCTCTCATTTGATCAAGAGAATCAAAGTAGATTCTCATTGCCCAATACATCCCTAAACCCTCTATCTAGAGGTCATCTAACTGTAGTCTGTGTAGGTTTCTTCCTACACAGACTAACTTTTAAAACTAGCCTTATTCAACCCAAGTGTTGAGGTAGACCATAAAGAAGTCTACCCCTCACATAGTCTTACTTTAGAGAAGTAATAACTGTAGTACTTCTCAAGTTATAATACAAACAGGATACCTTGAGTATTACATCTAGAAACCTTCACACTCAAGTAAGTAGACAGTGTAGATTTGGAGTTACAGTTGAAATAAGGACATTTCTACTAATTCAACAACTTCAGAGAAATATGATTAATTGTACTGTAGCTCTACTTTTGACACTTGTGCTACAGTCTTGATACAAGTTCTTACAGTTCCTCAGGTAGATTTGATATTTAGACATCATTGATAACTTGGCATGTGAACTAATCATTCAATGAATGAACTGCTTCTCACACAAGGGCATTTTGCATGATCAGTAGTAGAATCTGCTTGAAATAACACATTGTACAAACAATTGATCCATTAAATCCAGGGTATGAACTACTGTAATGTCTATTAATGAACATTGAATGAACAGTACAGTTGATAATCTAAGCATACAAACAGACTATGAGTTCTCATTCTCTCCATTGCCTAGAGTAGAAGATGGTTTATTTTTGGAACAAAGAAGCTAGAGCAAATCTGCTGGTTGATCCACTATTGTAACCATGAGAAATAAGAAGACATTCAAATAAACTCCAAGCATTCTCTATATGATTGTTTTCTTCATTGATTTAAATCCCTAGATCTCTACCCATATCCAATTCCTCCTCAAATTTTGATGAATCCACCCTCTAGAAGTAAATCAAGAGTTGGTAGGTTTTATTAACCTTTTCTTTATGTTATAGGCATGTTTCTGGATCAAGAATACTGATTAATTGGACACTCTATTTCCATTTTCACCCTGGGTCAACCAATCTCTGCTGAACTGATTGGGCATTTGCTTAAATCTCATCTAGAGTGATTACCACTGCCAATAAGAGTCAGTGAAGAAAAAATCAACAATTCTTGGTTTCTGTCAAAGCCATATTCAGGTGAGGCTTGAATAATTAGCTTGTAAACATATTTACCTACATTGCTATTCCTTAATAGCTAGCCCTAGATTTTGTGGTTATTACACCCTTTCTTTTAGAGCTAGCCTGACAGTAACTTAGGTCTCTTGCTAGTGGGAGGCCAGTGACAAAGTCCATGCTTTGCCACTTCTCAGGTTCTAGTAGGTTTTTCAATTCAATAACCCATACCTCTTCCTTTTCATGTTAGCTTTTTGGCATGAGTTACACAAGTTCATATATTCTGTTGAGTCTCCTTTATAACCTACCAAGGTGTGATCTGCTGGTGTCTCAGGAATTTTCTTCAGAGAAATGTTTTGTGAGGATGTGTCATCATGACTTGGCTTCAGCATCTTTTCCTTAAAGTCATTGTGCACAACTAGTCTTTGGCATATGTACAATGCTTTGTAATCCTTGTCCAAGGAGGATACTAACACCACTGGAATATTTGCATTGCATGTAGTCATGCTACATGACATAGCATGTCTCCATGTGATGCAATAGGCCAATACCCCAAGGTGGAGCCTTGGCAATTGGTCTATAGAATCACATGCAGAAATGCTATGTTGCCTAGTATGCCTCCATGCAATGAAAATATGCTGGAAGTGCAAGGTGTAGTTCTCAGCATTGGTAGGGTTTGGTAGTACCTTCAGAAGGGTATTAAGATTTTCACACATCTTAGACCTTCCTGCTACTTCTACAAAAAACTTAGATGCCAAATTCACTATATAGTGGCCAAAATGCTTCACAACATCAATTCTTGTACCCCAATAGGGTTATGATGTCTTTGGTAGGGGGTGACATGACAGGGGGTCTGCATTTAGAAGCATTCAGCCTGTGAATTATTGACATCCCTATGAAATTGTTGGATGGCCAATTGCCATCAAAACATATGCCTGTTTGGAATTTTCTCTTGATTCACCCATCCATGTTGAGAAAGGAAAGAATTCTATTTCTCTACCATCTATGACCCTTTTCTGGTGTAGCACTGCCCCCAATCCAACAAAGTAGCTGCTGTGTATAGGGGAATGGTCTGTCAAACTCTGGAAGTAGTGAGGAGGGGAACCCATCAAGGCCTGTTTTAATCTTTCCCAGGCTTTGTGGCATGCCCTCAGTCCATTCCAAACCCACCTCAACCCCTGTCAATTTATTTAGAGGTCAGGCTATATAGAATTCTTTCACATATGTCTGTGATCCCTGCACATCCCCAAAAATCTCTGTATTTCTGTTACCTTTGTTAGGGCAGGCAGGTGTTTTATTGCCATGACTTTATCTAGACATCATCAAGACCAGAGACAATATGTCTGAGAAATTTTCACTGATGTGAAAAACAATGGCATTTTTTCAAGGACAAGGTCATATTGATCTTCTCCAGTTTTTGAAAGATATCTTGGTGTCTGATGTGTTTTTCATTCAAAGTTGAGTGTACAATAATTTCATCTGGGTACACTGTTGTCCAACCTTGTTGAATCTCCTTTCCAAAGGTCTTGTCCATCCATCTCTGAATTTGAGAGGGTCCATTCTTTGGACCAAAGGGCATCCTTACACATCTGAAGACACCCATGGGTGTGATAATCATCAGACATTTCAACACCCTTTCACTGTTCCCAAGTGGTGGTAACCCTTCACTCCATCTGGTATGAAGATTTTTGTAGCACCCACCAGCTATCCCATGGAGGATCAAAACAGTCCTGGGTATGGCATATATGTCTGAAACAGTGAAGTCATTGAGTGCTCTGAAGTCCCCACACAACCTGGATTTACCATTCTGTTCCTGTATCAGTACCAGTGATACAATTGCATCCTGAGGTGTTTTCTCAACCTCCTCTATAGCCCCAAGTTCCAGTAGTTCCCTGATATTGGCCTATATCCTTACACCATTATGGGTTGGCAGGGTAGGCTGTTTTTTGTAGACAGGGTGGATGCTCTCCTGAAGGGACAGTGAATTGGATTTCAAACTTTCCTGTTGTAACTTCCCCCAACTGTCAGGATCTTTCCCTGGGGGAAAATGTTCTCAAAGAGGGGGACAAAGTTGTTTCAAAATGAGCACTTTCCACCTGTGGGCTTTGAGTGGGATGGTGTCAGCTCATTCATGAGAGTGCATAATTGTGTAATTTTGTGAGATGCAATATTATAAGCTCTCAAGATTTAGGGGCCCTAAAGAGATCATACAGACAGCAACTAAGACCACTGATGGGTAGTAGATATGTCAGGACACCCAGACACCAAATAAACAAACATCAAAAGTTGCCAGTCAAGAGTTACAACCAGATGTGTGTGGAAACTCCATTACAACACCATGTCATGACTTCAATGAAGCTTCAGACCAAGGTATTGGTCAAACAGAGGGTAAGTCAGTTGGTTCACAGGACCTCAACAGGCTACCACAAAGCAGAAAGCCTTTCATCACACACCTGTGAGTTAATGATCAACAATCAAACCTACTTGTCAATGGTAGTTCAATGGTATACAGTATCACACACAGTGGGCTATGGTATCTTCAGGCAATCCAAGATGTTTGGACAAATGTGGCACAGGTGAAAACTATAACAAAAGAGGATGGTCAGAGCTGGAACCAAACCAGCAACCAAGTATTATGTCTGTACTTGGACCCAACTTGTATGGGCTGCCTTAACCACTAGGCCATCTAACCTGTATCACTGCCAAGATATTTGTATCAGATGGGCCTATCCGATGTTCTATCACCCCAAGATATGCAATGCAGTGTCAGTAGGATTAGGTGCAATGGAATTACACTGCAATATGGTGTCAGAGCATTAGATACCAATAGTAATTCCA